GGCACCACTGTTGCATCAAGACGGGGACCAGAGGCTTGCGTCGCGGGCGGGCGGATGCAGCGGCGGCGACGGGAGTGACGGGACAGCGGGAGGAGAGCGGCAGCGGTGGGGGGGGCGGCGATTGGTTCCTCTCCTGCACCCGGAAGCTGTCTCTGGCATGCTCGGGACCGGAACGCTGGCCGGCGGTAACGGCAGCGGCGACGGCGGGGTCGGCAGCAGCGGCGGTGCCGCCGCCGCCGCTGCCGCTGCCGCTGCCGCTGCCGGCGGCGCTGTTGCCGGCGCTGCTTTCGCCGCCGTGCGATGGGTAGCGGAGACGATAGGGGGAAGCACGCAGCGGCGGCGGACGGAGACGCCGCCGCGGCGAGCGGACTGCTTGGTGGAGATAGGATCGTCGCCCCAACCGTCACCGTCATCTCCGCGCTCATCCCCCTCCGCCACTACCACCCCGATCCCGGTTGTGACGGTGCTCAATCCCGGGGGGGAGGGGGTCGGTGCCCCATTACGTGTGACCGTAGGCCGGGTGAGCGCGTTCAATCCCAGCGACGGCGGCGGCGGGGAGGGCAACGCTACTAGCGGCGGCGAGGCCGGGGGCAGCGGCAGCGGCGGTGGCGGCGGCGGCGGCGGCGACGCCGGGCTTCCCGTGATAGTGCTGGAGGTCTCGGTGGTGGGGGACACAAGGGTAGGGCGCAGGCGAACCGGCGAGTTTGCCGAGGCACTGAAGCGGCGGCTGCTGGCGCCCGCCTAGGCCGGTTTTTGTTTTTTGTAGAGAGATGAGATGGCGTGGAGCCTTAGGAAGAAGTTGTCTCGGCCCCCAGGGAGAAATAGTAGTGTGAAAGCGTGGCAATCGTGCAGGTAGCAAGAGGAGATAGATGTCGGCGCTCCGGTTGGTCTGGCATGGGGAACAACTATTAGTCGGCAGGTTGTATGTCTAGAGGCTGGCGTGGGAAAATACTGGTCGGCAAGTTGTAAGTCTAGAGGTTGGCGGGGGGGGGGGTATACGGGGATGTGCAGAATGGCACCCGCCGTCAGGAGACGTTCGTCTGCGTGTCCGTTGTGTTGCTGTTAGGATTAGGTGTGTACTATTGGTTGATGTCGGGGGTTGGTTGCGATTCGGTGGATGGATGTGTCAATGTGTTGGGTCTGTCTCAATGCGCGCGTCTTGGCTTGGGGAGGTGGGGCGAGCGGCGAGAAAAAGGGTGCTTGGCCTTTTTTCGAATTTCCCGCTCTTGTCGGTTGTTGCATGAATGTACAATATGTATGTATGTGAAGTATGTTCTATATCACGGAAATAGGAAACAGAGAGGCTACTGCATACTGTAGGGCTGGTGGGTCCCATGGCGAATAGTTGAGGTTGTAGTGGTGGAGATCTCGACACAGAGCATCACCAGGACCCTGGCTGTCTGCAGTAGCCAAGGTGCATGTCGTTTCATGGGCGATTCCGACAGCTCCATGACAACCGAGGTCGAGTAGAAAGTTTTTTTGAGAAATGGATCGAAGCGTTGTTAGGATCGTGTAAAGACGGTGCGCACAAAGATGTGTCCTTGTGAGGGTTTCCGCAAGCAGATGTCCCCAACTTGCAGTCACCCACGTCGGGACTTGAGCCTCCCAAGCGCTATCCCTATGTAGTGAAGCTCACGATAGAGACAAATACTGAACCGCTGGTGACCATGCATACATACATGTAGACCCCCGGATATCGTCGGCAGCGGTCCGCACGCCCCCCCGGTTATAAAGAATACATCGATCCCCAATACGTACATCAACAGTTTTGCAGGACACATCGGCGTTGGGGATGACATGCCCAAGCAACGATTGAAATCAACCCCAGCAGCCACATAACAGCACTTTTCCTTGTAACTCTCTCCCATCGTTTCTGTTGGGCATGAACCAACGTATAGTGCTTGTGCGGTGGGGAATCGACGACCCCTTTGAGCACGGAGCGTCAAGCGCCTGCGACGACGAGTGCTCGGGGGACTAAGAGCAAGTGTGCCGAGGTTTCTACCCCATGGGCGTGTTTCTCCTACTCGTGTAGTATATTCGCTAAAAATTATTCGTTCGTGCGTTGTGCCGTGTCGGTGATGTTATTATCGTGGTGTAGCTTCTCGCGGGCCGACGGTTTGCACGGGCACCATCCGTTACGCAACATGGGAGATGGTCCAACAAGTCGTGGACACACGAAGTTTCCGATCGTTCACATCGTTTGTAAATGCCATGGAACGCCGTTCGTTGAACATTCCTTGGGATGTTTTTGAACAATGGAATCGCAACACTTCCTGTCGCGGGGGGGTGGATTCGTAGGCTAATACATGGGGGGGTTGCAGAGTGAACAGTTCACTATTTCGTTGTCCCTGAGACTGTACACGAGATAGATTGAGTGATCGAGCGGATGAAATCAAGCCTTGAATATAATCGACATTCCGCGGTGTGTCACCGAACAGTAATTTACGTGTGCAGCATTGTGACCAACAACGTCTACAGTGCGAAATCAGTAGGTTGGGATATTGAGTGAACCTGTGCAAAATTAACAGACCACAAGGACGTATCGAGCCACCTTACTTAGTGCCACCTGTGCCGTTGTGGAGAGCGGACAACACCACAGGGGGGGGGAGACGCGCATCCGGCGTATCGGCAGAATCTCACGAGCCCCGAGATTCGACTACAGCATGAGTCTCCTTTTGATATTCGTGATGACGACCCACCCACACACTTCCCGGCATTCTGAAAATGACCGTCTCAGATGCAGATAGTTGAACGTACTTCGAAGTACGAAGTAGAATCAGAGGGTTGCTCCATTGGGTTCTGTGTGCGTACGGCCAACAGAAGACAGTACATGGCACAGGCAGGTGGAAAGGCGGATTGAAGGAGGAGTCTTCGATGCGGGGTGTGTAGCATGACCAGAATAAAATTCAGCAGTCTGCACGGCAATTAGTTGAGCGCCGAGCCGCAAGAGCTGAGCCATTATGGCATCCTTTGAGCAAAACTTTTTCATGTTGTGTGGCACGTCAGTTGGCAGTCGTACAAAAACCTCTTGCTGTCAGCTGTCTTCGCTGACCTGGGCGTAACAATCTCATCTCGAAACAAATATTTTCCTGCCGCAGGCCCGAAGACTCGAAGCGCTATTGTAGCCGAGTTACAGCAGAGAAGAGCACGCGGGATGTTGAATGCGATCGGTGGTAACAGCACCTCTAAAACTCTTAAGAAAGTGCCGATACGCCCGCGTTCTCACAGTTGTGTGGGTTGATGATTCGCTGGAGACGAACCTTCACAACCAACCGGTAACGTGTTGACTTCACATCTGTCATACAGTACCATGTAGCCCCGCGACAACTTTCCCCACTCTTTTGAAGAAAAACTACAGTATATTATCTGATCTGCGCGCCCATCATCGCCGACGCCCACGCGCACGCACGTCTGTGACCATACTCAAGACGGTTAGTTGCGCTAATACCACAGGTTGTGTGGGTGATACAAGAAACCGGGACTTCAGATTCCTGCGTGTGATTGTTCCAAAGACTACATACACGAGGTGGATTTTCACTCAATCGACTCAAAATACGCGAAGGGATGGTCACTCAGTCAGTCGCTTTTCACTGAGACAGTCACTACCCCGGGACCTTTCTGGAGCCCACCCGAGAATGGGAAACGTAATGGATTGTACTGATGGCGACATACTGCGGTGGTCAATGCAGACACGGGCTCTCAACCACGCTCGGAACTACTGTAGCATTGTTTCTGTCGTGTGGAGTCGGCTTCTCGTCGGGTGCTGAAGGAAAGTGTGCGTGCGTGTGGTCTCTCATTCACTAACGTATGACCACGGACGCCGCAGACCAACCGAACGGGTGCAGGTATGTACAGATCTGTCAGTCTTGTCGTAACCCGATTCACCCCACACAATCGAAACCCAACATCTGCGCGCGTGAGCCGAGTCGCGTGCGTACGCGAGTGTTGACAAGCCCGAAAAAACGGGACCATCTCTTCTAGGAGACGAGACGATCCTTGCTGATGGTAAGGTTCAGGACGAAGGCGTAAACATTGGCCGTCGCACCAGCGACCATCGACCGTGGTCTACCGGAATTTCACACACTGGATGGGATGTTGCTCTCTCCGGGCTACAGTTACTCGGATGAGTGAAACGACCTCTCTGTCGTGCGAGGGTCGAAGTCTGAGGCATGAGCACGCGCATTTGGTCCGCTTCTCATTTCCTCCGGGGTTGAACCCAACAGCCTACACACCTTGCCCTCGCCGCGATCGAACGAAGCGATTGCAGGCATCGTGGCCGGTACAATACCAGGGTATCTAGATTCCTTCCCGATATGTGATTTCCTCCCCCCGGCGCTTACCGCTACGCCGCACGTGTACCAGCTCCATTCTGCACACCACTGATCTATCACGTTTTCTGCGTAACGAGGGGTCCGACGTGACAACAACCAACAAGGGTATTGAGAGATTGAGAGAGAACGCTCCAAGACGAAGGGTGCGGATCGGAATAGGCATAGTGAATGAGTATGTCGCGGGATAGCTTGGTGTTGACTGAACCCGTTCAGGGTGCTTCCCCCCGCCCCCACCCGCAAACGTGTCGTAGCCGAAGAATATATTGGCCCCTTTGGATATTTCTGCGCTCGCACGGACGAGCCTAATGCAATCGCTTACAAAACAACGACACCTGCATGTACTAGAGGTCATCCTGGCCCACACTTTGCTCCAGCTCCCGCCAACGTTCACATATTCACTCAAACAAGAAGCACAGCGAATGAGTGATCACATCACCTCGCTGCGGATCCTTAGGATACTACCGAACACCTCAATGGCCTTGACTGCTACTACTGTGGCCCCAGACCAACCACCGGGCCCTCGCTTCCATAAAAAAATTACGGTTGACCTGTAAACGCCGGAAAAAATCAAGCACCCACGAGGAAACGAAGATTCTTCTCTCCAGTGGGCCGTCCTTCAAGCGGATCACTCTTTTTAGTGGGCAGCCTTCACCAAAAAAAATACAAAAAGCCTTGCTCATTTTCATCATCGTCGATCAGCAACCGTCACTATATATATATGTTCACTCCTGTTCACCCCGACGCAAGGGTAACCATCTCTCAAACTATGTACGTCGGAGTGCGTAGTGCCTTGACATAGCGCCATGATCGGCCAGTGGCAATGCCGATCGATGATGATATCATATCAAGAAAAGCACAAACACACTCCCGGTCTTAACTTACTATAGAACTGATACGTGAGACGTGCACTAAAATATTGTGACCCAAATGTGAACACGACCGAAGGCCCTTGCCTTTCATCAATAAGTTGGGGAAATTTAATACGGTAGACCTCGCCAACCGTTGGGTAATTGAATATTGCAGGTCTCAGCCAACCGGGCCGTCATCCGCAGTGAAAATGAGGTACCAGGGGCAAGCCTCTTCCGGCATCCTTGGCATCTACGCGTTGCAATTTGCTTCTACCCACCACAAACAAAGTAAAGATAAATGGACCACGGCAATGAACGGTAACAACACTTTCCGATTGCTGCTGAGTACCTTCTATGCTCCAATTTGGTCTCCCGTGGTTACGGATTTGTACACAAAGAGGTACATAGGCGAGACATGGGAGAAAATATATGTAGATATGAAAATGAAGCAAATCGACGAGCGATGCTAAAATAAATGCGAAGGAGGAAAGACAGAAAGAAAACGCATGAAATCCAATGAATTCCCCTCTGGGTGAATCGGCCCTGGGGGGTTACCGTATGTAATTTACAGATAATATATCCGTTTTCCAGTGCAGGATCCTACAGTACTTCTGCATCCACCTGAAGCTGTGTCAACTACGGTCAACTGTTACTGTTCTGAGGAAAATCACCGAACCTGTGGTGACAGGTCTCTCCCTCGATCGAGCGACCCACGCAAGCGTTGGTACCTCTCTACTGGCAAAAGCATGGGAAAACAGGAATATCGCGCGCATGCGCTCACCCGCGCACGCGCAAAAATTGGAGTCTCGTCTCCAATGTCATGGGGGGCATCTCTGCCCTTTCGGCGTTCCTAGCACCCACGGAGAACAAGACAAAATGGAGGAAATGGGGCCCTCCACACCCACCTGCAGCCTCATCTGCACCAACACCGCTCGAAATCGGACGTCATAACCTTGGAGTCAAGACACCGTATTGACGTTGGAGACAAAGACCCGTCTTTGTCTCCATCGTCAAGACGGTGTCGGTGCAGATGGGGCTGCAGGTAGGTGGGTGTGGAGGGCCCGATTTCCTCCACTTCGGCTAGTTCTCCGTGGGTGCTAGGAACACCGAGAGCGTACAGATGTGCCCCCATGCATGTATTTTAGCTACCAGACCGAGCGAGAAACCGCCCACTCGTTGCTGATCCAGGGAACCGCCGTTCAGAGAACGAATCTGATAGCGTCCTAGTCCCAGCAACTTTCGGTCAACCGAGAGGGGCAATCGCGGTGCGCTGATGACAGCGATGGTCCAATGCGGACACGGGCTCGTATCCACACCCAAACCCTTCTCAGGGCATTTGTTTCTTCTCTCGTGTGGACTCCGCTTCTTGTTCGGCTAGCTAGAGTATTTGGGGAGCGTCGTGGTGCCTCCTCTCTCTCAGTAGCTCTGCCGTGGCGCAGGTCAGGCGAGAGTACATAGCCTCGTCGGCTTTGTCGAAGAGTCGATTGACTCCGTACAGAATGCCCAGCATCTGCGCGTGTGAGCCGAGGCACATTGTTATTGCGCACGATTAGCGCAGGTTCGGTGTTCGGTTGAGCACTCAAAGAACTCGAGCCGTCGAGACCAAGACTTCGGCTGATACTGGAATTCAATGGCTCTCGAGCCGGCGAGACCGAGACTTCGGTTTACGACTCAAAGACACTCGAGCCTTCGAGACCGAGACCCCGGTGGTCACTTTGAGGAGGCGACACGATCCTTCCTGCTGACATGCGTGTTACGACACAAGCGCCAGCAGCATACAGATGGTAGACACGTGTCGAGATCTTCACGCTTGTTGCACCACAGCCGTAAACTAACTTTGCCCCAAGAAAAATATCGTACTCGACGACAAGAGCGTATCTCACCAGAAAGAGAATCGCGAACTGGAGGCCGTGCGGCAGGTCGTTCCACATGCACCTGACCCCCGACGGAAGCTCAATCAGCCCTGTGTGGCACGGGGTTGAAATCAGCAACGGGACGGGGCAAGAACCGGGGGGCAATTCCGTAAACCATGAGGCCCCAACTCTGTCGAACAATAGATGGAGGACTTCGCACACATGAAACATAATTCCAATGTCTCCATCGGTGTTTGGAAGGAGAGCTAGGAGAAACAACTCGTGGGAGGTCCACGGCCGCCCTAAGTTTGTTGATACCCTCGGACGTTTTCTGACCTTGGCGACACGTTTCGAATCTCAGCGCCATCACGCAAACCACCACCTCAAATCGCTCCCAAACACTTGGGGACGGCGACTACAGTAGGTCGTGAGCATTGACCGAAACGAGCACGTTAGTTTCGACGTTTACGGTGGACGCGGGACAAAATACTGAGGCCTTCTGGCGATCAGAAACAACAATCAAGCCAAACACCATCGAAGGAAGGACCAGACGAAGAAAGGGTGGGGACCGTCTGTGCATTCCTCCGGGAAAACCCCGGCGGGGGCGCCCTGAAAACATGCCTCAAGCGGCAAAGTCGAGGTCCAGCGTGGGTGGGATGACTCACACAAAATTATGTTCCTTGCTGACCCCCTACGAAGACTGTTGGCGGGGTCGATACGAATCAATGGGAATGCCAACACGTGCATGTTGCCGCTACACAGGGGTCCGAGATTCACCACGACCGCCAACGAACTCCTGTTTCGCAACGATCGTCGGTGTGACACTTGCCACACTCAACTCACGTTTGCCCTCCACCAGGTCCACCTGGATGGCTGAGACCAAGGCTAGCATAGCACGGCGACCAAGCGACCGACCGGCAGACGAACAAACGAAGGGGCGCAACGCCGTTTTTTTCCGAGACATCCGTCGGGTCTCGCGCTTCCAAGAGGCTTCGCAGGCTTGATAGCTTTCCGATTGTTGCGAGCTGTGAACTGCGCTTGGTGGAAATGAAACGGGCCCCATGCAAGCCATCAGGACACTCTCAACACCAACAACCCGGAGAATCCACCGCAGTAGGCTTGAGGCCCACTCGAAGTTTATTAGCACACCTGGTGAGAGCGGGTTTTCGAGGGCCAGAGGCGGACGACCCAGTGACTGCTGGAGCATTCTCCAACGATTGTGTTACCGCAGGTTGTATTCCTCATGACGTAACCGGAGGCTGTATCCCCCATGAGACTACCGCAGGGGGTTCTCCTCATGAGAAAACCGCACGCAGTAGGTGGCAGCATGTCTCGCAGGGTCGACAACGCGATGATGATGAAAGTGTCGCCACCGTGGTGTGGGACGTCATGATTCTCGTGTGAGTCCTGACACTTGCGACAACCCAAAGCTTCCAAGCTTCCAAGGTTGTTCGTATGGCATGTCACTTGCCATTGCGTAGATCGAAGGAATCTTGTCGTAGGAGACGGTAGACTCCGTGCATAGGGTCTTCGGAGGAGGGTAAACTCGTAGCGATAAACGATGTAGATGGATTCCTCTTCATGGCTTTGGAAACCTATGCTTGCAACAGGTTGGGGGTTCGGACACAAGTTCCTACTTCGATAATTTTCGATAATTTTCTTGGAAGCTCTGTGAAGTGAACTTTCGTAAACTGTACAGAAGCTGTCAGATTTTGATGCTGTATATGTCTGGCGGCACTTCCACCGGTAAGTTAGGGCACCAGGTTGACAATGAACCTCCTGGAAGTACTTCCGTGGAGATTACGGAGGCTTCGAAAAAACTCGCATGGGCTTCCGTCTGTAGGCTTTAGTTGCTCCCGTGGAAGCTTCCACCAAAACGAAACGGGGAACACACGCAGCCAGTAGAACAGATCCGGTCTATTCTGTCGTATCCAGCGGAGCCTTCTTGTTCAACTGCATTGCTACACGGCCTGGAACGTCTACGTGTCATTGTCGTTCATGCTCATCACCGAATTATTACAGATTCGAGTCGTTGGCGCCAAGAAGCGTCGTGGAAGCCGACCGTAGTTCTACAGAAGTTGAAGTTTAGATTTCATACCACCTGCTGGACAACCCGCATGCTGTTTCAGCACCCTTCGGGTTGTACACAGCCAGTACATCCGTGTAAACAACGCACCGTTCGCCCCATGCAAATAACGACTACCGTAGTAAATGGGTTCTCGAGGTGGAGCACACGCGGTTTCAATTTGTTTCGCATGTGAGCTGAATTCCATACACACACCACAGCAAGCAGCTAACCTCACCCTAAACCATATGCGACACCACCGCTGCTCTCATGTTTTCATCGCGTGAGGCAAGTGCTTCCGTCACCCTCCCCCTCCAATAACGGAGTTGGTCCGTACATAACAAGTTTATGCAGTGTCGAACAGAACCCAGGGAGCGATAATTGATAGTCGCGGCTGGGAAGCGTGGGTTTTCCGATGCTTCTTGCGTACGGTCCTCGAAACAAAAAGGCGGGTTGTATGCGGTGTGTGTGCACGTAGACGTGACGTCTATTTACGTGCCTCAGCTGGAAACAGCTGGCGGCACAAACTACGTGTCACTGCAAGCATTTTGGGGCTTTTTTCTGCTCTGATTCCTCCGCATGCAACGTGGGACAACATCTCGGGCAACCGACCACATTATTATTGCTCCGGGTGCGCAATGCCCCGGGCAGACATACGTGTGGCCCCCGCGCGTACGGCTGTGACCCCGACCCTAGCAACGATCAGAAGCTGCCACGTGCTGATTTTGTAGTATGGATGCAGCAGAAAGAAAAGCGTGAAGATCGTTCCGTTCTATTTTGCGAAGTTGAACTTTTCCGGAGGAACCCACCACCGCCGCCCCCCCCAGCTTGCGGCCGATGCTTGAACACAACTTCCCAGTCAGCAAGACGAGGGAAGACTTATGAACAAATGATACCACGTAAATATCACATGTTTGGCTTCGGAAAACCTTTCTCACCTCCTTTGTCATGCCTTTGGCGAACAAGGCTGGCCATGGTCCACATCTGCCAAACAGGGGGGGTGGATCACAAAACCGCCAGGGGGTCGTAAAAATTATTAGTAATTTTTCTCCGTCGGCTTTTTGCGGATGGATGCAGCAAGCACACGACGAGCTCCGCTGTGAAACTACCTGAAAAGAAATCGCCTTTCCTGTTACTCAACAACCTCGGACCGCTTTTCTATCGGCAGATAGTTGTAGGAGAGTATCATAGAAAGGATACGCGTCGCTGACGGTAAGGGGTAAGCGCCCACCAGCGCCTTCATCTGTTGCTAGCCAACAAAATCGTATTGCGGGGAGAATACCAGAAACACAACGAAGAGGCAAACAACGACAAACACTCGAGGCTACGTCGTACGCTATCTACACACCATTTTCATCGAAGAAAGAGGCCACTGCTTCTGAAGATCGGGCGCAAACTCTGGCTTTCTGGGCGTTCGTTGGGATGTGCTTAAAAGCGCTGCTGTGTGTGACGGACCCTGACGGGTTCGCCCCCGAAAAAAATCCGTTGGTTTATTCAAGTTCATCCAGAAAGAAATGCGGGGGGGAGCGAAATCAAAGTGCCGCGCTGTACACACGTCATACGAACTCACCGGGACTGATGCTAACTGTTGGATTATTTTCACAGAGGAGGAGGATGGCCTACTCAGGGGCGGCCAGTTTGGACTCGTTCGGAACTCCTTATTCTCTCTCTCGGTCTTCCTTGTGGGCAATGGCACACTCACTGCTGCGAGGACGAACTCTCTCCATCTGGCGTGGCTGCACCGCCAGCTGCAAGGTGTCGCAAGTTGAGCCGATTGTTTTCTGAATATTCAAGAGCAAGTAGAACATCCTTCGGTACATCTATAAGGTTCTCTCCCGAAAAAACATATCTACCCGTTACTTTGCGTACCGTCAAGTACCGTAGGTGAAAACGATACCACACACCCTTTAACCAATATTCAAAGCTCTACTACTCCACGAACAAGAGGGCGCGAAAACTCAATGAATGCTCGTTCAGAAAGACTTCGACGTGAGATGGTTCCCAACGTCGCCACTTTAGGAACAGCCACCCTGTTTGCTGTGAGCTTTGAAAATTCGGTCCAGTGGGGGGGGGTGGTATCTTGCGTCACCTGTGGTCTGCATGTGTAACCGTTCGGGTTCGGAGATGGCTCGGAGAGGCGACGCACATGACTGATGCCTGATGCCTGCCTGTATGCCTGCATCCATATTGCGAAACCGACGCCGGCAACAAGAGAGCAGAGCAGGGTACACGACAGCAGGGGGGCAACAGGGGGGCAGTACATATAGATACGGATCATCGCAGATCAGTATACGACACAACGTGGACAGGTTACCATGTTGGTATCGAAGCGGAAAAACATGTCAACAGCGGCAGAACGAAATGGGAGAAACTGTCTTGTTGAGCCTGTTACCCGCAGAGGAGATGTCCCTATATGCTGTCTGGGAAACCGTAGACACAGGTACTTTCAGACGCTATGAATTCATTGCTAATCTGTCTCAGACTCTATGATAAAGATGGATTCGTTGTGTCATATTAAAAAAAAAAAAGAATGCGAAGCCGATGTGCACCACGCACCAAGCACCAAGCACCTACAGTAATGCTTGCAGCACTCCTGTGGGCTCTAACCCATCGCATCCCCCAGTTGCCCGGTTGTTTGTTCCCCGTTCAGCGTGTAATGGCTATAGAGGCCACGAGTCAATGGCAGCCGACCACGGGGAAGGTTGGTACGTATACGTAGATGTTGATATATGTAGGGCGATTAACTGCTGTACTGTGAAGGTTAGAGACGCGAGGAAACTACTCACAGCAGCAGTACGGATTGTCCCAAAGTTCTGTTTCGCTTTTAGGAATGTTCGGAGATCAGCAAGCAACAGCAACCCACAGACCACAACACCCCACCTTCAACCTTGAACAACTACAGCTGAGTAGCGGTGTCCATAACAAACACAGAAAACGATTTCAACCATCGCATTTCTCGTGGACCTCCTTCTTTCAGCAGCAAGCAGGTGATGAGGTTTGTCCGATTTCTTTCCGCCGAGAGGTTCCAGCGTATACGCATCAAGCACCCAAGCCACATTCAGGCACACACATCCCATCCGATACGAACGATGATGATGCCGGTGTGTGTGAGCGATGACGCTGCTGGTCGAAGCAAGCAAGGTTTTTCTTCGAGCGAACTACCGTAGTCTACCGATTGGTAAGCCACGCTTCCTCTCTCTCTCTCTCTCTCTCTCTCTCTCTCTCTCTCTGCGTGCTGCGTGTGTTTTCTCCCCATCAAACAAAAGTAGCGCCCGGCGTGTTCTTGAGCAGAGCGGAGAACGATCCTGAAGACAGGAAGGATAAGACGACATTTACACGGTACAGTAATTCTGCTGTATTGTACACAATCGAGGAAGTGTTGTCTGCTGAGAGGAGAGAGGAGGGACAAGAACGAGATACAGAGAGCCGGAGATAACGTGCGAGTCTGTGTTGACTGGTACAAGCATCTAAGTTGTTTGTAAACGGTTCTGTGTTTGGGCAGGTGGTCAATAACAAACATCGTTCCAACATCTTTATCACAGCCTCTTGGGCTTGTGCGTCGTGCAAGAAGTGGGTCCATGCCCCGGCACACCCCGAACGTCGGGTGTGTGGTGCAGCCGGGCTCGGCGCACTCCTGCCTCTGTAGATTGCCTCGAGATGTCTACAGAGGCAGGAGTGCGCCGACCCCAGCTGACCCACACACCCGACGTTCTATATTCGCGACAGACAAGACCATGGACGAGGCTGTCTACAATCAATCGCGTCCGATTGATTTACTCTTTGTGCTAACTGGCTAACCCGCCCTTATTTTTCCCTCCCCCCTATTGGCGCGTGTTATCGTGCGTGAGTGTGCCTCTATTGCCTTCCCTACATACTACATGTAGCTGCGGTTGTCTTTTTCAGCGCCTGTCGTGTGAGTTGGGGTGCGTTAGCCTTTCAACTGTGCCCGGCAGTTTCATCTCTGCAGGGGGGCGCGTGTGCACGAGAAACCGATCAACACTGATGTATGCGTACAACATAGCACATGCGGCAGTTTGAGGCAAAGAATGGGTCGCCTCTTGGCCGGTAGAAGTCGCGGAGCACTCCGGCCGCAGCCCCTCCATCCTCCATTTTTGTGACAAGTCCCTCCCCCCCCCCCTTTGTGTTGTCTGGTAGCCGGGAGGGGGATGGATTGACCGCTGTGTTGATCGGGGGCACGTGCAGCTCGGACAACCTCATTCTTGCAGCATGCGATAGCCCTACCAATGATTGTTCTTGCTCCCCCTGTTTTTTTTTTGTTATTTTTCGTGCCATTGGCTGTTGTACATCCATCTCTTTTTTCGCGCATTGCGTGCGTGTCGCTCTCTCTTGAAAACAGATCATTGAGTTTTTCCCAAGATCAGACACCAGATGTCGAACGTCCACGGTTCAAACCACACGGCGCCGACCGCATGCTTCCCAAGGTGCGCCCACGTAGGAGGGAGAGGGATCGTAGCCGTGACACGTGGCGTGCTTTCACGGGGCGATTGTCGTCGTCATCGTTGTTGTTGTGATGTGGTATACATACGTGGTCCAGCAAGTCTAAACTTGTTGTCTTGTTCTCGGGCGGAAGTTCCGGTTCAGGGAGAGGGGGGTGAGCCTGCCGGCGAGAGGAAATGAGGTGTAGGTGCTCAGCCTGGCTCGCTCGTGTCGTGTGATGTACCGAGACTGAAAACAAGGCGCTATTGGCACATTCGTTCGCCGGGTGGGGGTTCTCTTATCCTTGTGGGCCACTGCGGTATGCGGGGGGGGCACAAACAAAGACTTCATCCCCCTCTCGCTTGTGGGTGGCTTATTTCCGTCCGTCCTGGCAGGTTTTACCCCGACCGCAAGACTGCAGTCGCTATCGTAGCAGCAGCTCTGGTTGGGGGAGCTTGTTGCTTCGCCATGACGTCGGCCCAGGCGACAGACGCTGATGCCATCATCGGTAAGCTCTATTTTGGGGGGTCCACGGAATGACGGGAGCCCGGCTCTCACTAACCAGACAAAACTGCTGTAGATTCGGTCGTTTTTTATGCCAACTTCAAGGAGATTTTCCTTCTCCCGAACTCCTTTGCACCACCCGCACTAATCTGGAAAGCACCAGTGCCTCGCTCCCCTGACATACCTCTCTCGCCCGCGTGGAAAGGGCCGCCGGAAGAGTTGGCATGAATACGCAAAACGGGGCAGGAGAGGAAACGATATAATCTCAAAAGTGCACAGTACGGTCGAATAGGTGTTCAAGGACGCTATTGAAGTGCAGGACCATGTAGGTAAGATTCATCGACCGACCTACTTCCTCGACCCTTTGTGTAACCACAACAGGTGTACCAGGTATGCATACTGTACGCATGCGCACGTTCGGTTTCGGTTGGCCAAAGGTAACCGGAGAAGAGATTGTGAGGCAGGCGGAAGTAGTATTCCCGATGGTGGTTTGTTACTGAGTTGCACCGGCTACACACATGCTAGTAGTAGGAGGAGCTGAAGAAGTAGGCCAGGTGTCTGAATGACGACCGGACATAAGAGTAGACACAAAAGACAAGAGAAAAAACCTGTACGTGATGGTTACCACGGAAGTACTTGGAAATCACCATTCTTGAACGAAATAGCAGGAAGCACAAACACCAGACAACAAAAGACCCAGCGACACACATACTACTTCAGTACTGCCGTTACTGCTGGCGATTGAAACGTTCCGAGAGGGACGGACAAGAGAAGAGAGAGAGAGAGAGAGAAAGTGAGCAACATTTACGCTGCAAGTCGGTAAGGAAGCAAGGCGGGTGCCGTCGGAACGCCTGCACTTGTGTCTGTACCTCCATGGCTCTTCGCCCTCTCTGAAGAAAAGAAATGCGGTCGATTGTTTGGTGTGATGTGTGGCCATCGGTCAAAAGACAGAGCAAGCAAGACGTCCCCCCCCCCCCATGGCTGGGTTGTCTTGCCCCCGGCACAACGGCTAGAAAAGTGAGCCCTCCCCATTGTGCAGCGTCGTTTGCAAAAGGAACACAAACACACCTTCTGGGCTCATCCAGAGGGCTACCTCGGTGACGAGGCATACGCGGATAGCTTGATCTTATTATGTCTATATCGCAACTATGACTCGCGTATTCCACCTCCGGGCAGCAGTCATTGCCGTTGCCACGAACATGTTCATCGACCGCCCGAGCGCCGATGGTGCCGGCGAGGCTTGACATGACGTTGGAGTTTCTCCGCGAACGGTTCCCTTGAAAGAAAGTCGCAGGCCCGTGTCCTTCCTTTTCGATTTTTCGCCGGAACAGTCCGTCGCACACGGCATTGATGCGCCCCCCCCTGCCCCCCCCGCGCCTCCCCCGGGTTTCCATGTTTACCCTCACCCCACCGACCGAGCTAGAACTGCAGCTCTAGAAGTTCTTGTCAGCATCGTTCAACACTCGATTGTTAAGGCATGATTGTGCCGCAACAAAAGGCATAGCAATAAACGCCTATACTTGGAAGTTGTGGACACGCACGGCTGGCTCTCGATGGGTCTGACCTTGGACCCACCGCTGATCATGCACTGCTTTGGTGGAGAATCTCTCTCAAAGAGCCACGCTCGAAACTCGAACCTACACCCTATCCAAAACAGTTTCTAGCGACCGACCCCCCTTGAGAAAATCGGACCGCGCAGTGCCAACCTCCGCTGTGTACCCCTAACACTCCAAGCGCGCGTGTGTGTGTTTCGATTCGATGCGGGATCGCCGCAGGCGCGGGATACAGCGCCAGAGACGTAGATTGTGACGGGGACACCATAGACCAGATTACACACCAGCTGGTCGTGTGGGGCTGGAAGACCATCAAGTTTTACTCGGTAAGCATCGCGGGTGTTCCGATTCATGCCTCGTGGCTTGTATATTGGTTTGTGCCCCGGCTGGGGCAGACAGACCCTTGCACCCGCTAGCGGGTACCCGGTCCTGGGAATTCCCGGCCAGTTCCGGTTCCACCTGTCTTGTAGCCGGGTATTTGGTTTTGATATATGGTGATACACATAACCGGTGCCCCAACAATCGCGAGGCACCCCCAAATTTTGATACACGGAGCCCAACCGGGGCACAACCGTATTTGTATTTGCTAGCGTTACACGCGATTGGTCTTGCCTCCGCAGCTCTGTAGCAGAAGGATTCATCGTCTCCAAAGAACGTTTATGCTTCATACTGCCCAAAGGTATTATATCGCAGATGAAGTCTTGGGATTTTCTGGGCTGCTCTCGAGGAACGGACAAGCCTTCCTTGAATGCATTCTACCCAGCATAGACTACCGTAGTTCAGTTCACCCCGACTTAATCAAACTTCCTTCTTCCAACCGCAATGCTTTCACCCCCCCCCCCCCCCCCA